TGTCCCTGCTGTCCCCACTGCTGTCCCCAATGTCCCTGCTGTCCCCACTGCTGTCCCCAATGCCAGCGCTGTCCCCAATGTCCCTGCTGTCCCCACTGCTGTCCCCAATGTCCCTGCTGTCCCCACTGCTGTCCCCAATGCCAGCACTGTCCCCAGTGTCCCCGCTGTCCCCAGGTGTCCTTACCTGGACGTCAAAGGGTATGCCCGGTTTGAAGTACTTGGGGGTGTGGGTGAAGTGGATGGTGTAGGGCGACGTCACGATGGGGATGCCACTGCGCTGGGCCTCCACCATGTCACTGCCTGGGGCACCGGGGGCACAGCCGCGTCACCCGGGGACAGGGGTCACTGTCCCCTGCCCAGGGACAGCCCCAGTGGCCCTGGGGTGGCCCCAGGTGTCCCCATCCTCCCTGTCCCCAACTCCAGGTGTCCCCATCCTCACCGTCCCCAACCTCATGTCTCCCCATCCTCCCTGTCCCCAACCCCAGGTGTCCCCAGACCCACCTCACCCCATGCCAGGGCTCACTGTCCCCTGCCCAGGCACAGCTCTGGTGGCCCTGGGGTGGCCCTGGGTGGCCCTATCCTCCCTGTCTCCAACCTCATGTCTCCCTATCCTCCCTGTCCCCAATCCCAAGTGTCCCCAGACCCACCTCACCCCGTGCCAGGGTTCACTGTCCCCCTCTCATGGACAGCCCTGGTGGCCTTGGGGTGGCCCCAGGTGTCCCCATCCTCCCTGTCCCCAACCCCAGGTGTCCCCGTCCTCACCGTCCCCAACCTCATGTCTCCACATCCTCCCTGTCCCCAACCCCAGGTGTCCCCGTCCTCACCGTCCCCAACCTCATGTCTCCACATCCTCCCTGTCCCCAACCCCAGGTGTCCCCCCATGGCCCCCCGTGTCCCCGCAGACCTGACTCGGTGAGGACGGTGACGGACACGTAGAGGGAATGTCCCACCAGCTCCTGTGGGTTGGGGAAGCGCTGCCGCAGAGCGTCCATGGCCAGCACGGCCTCGCCGTCCCCGTCGGTCACCTGCGGGGAGGGGACAGTCAGGGGACACCCAGGGGACAGACAGGGGATGAGGGACACCCAGGGGACACCCAGGGGACAGGTAGGGGATGAGGGACACCCAGGGGACAGGGGACAGGCAGGGGATAGGGGACAGCATGGCCTCGCAGTCCCCATCTGTCACCTGCAGGGAGGGGGACTCAGGGGACACCCAGGGGACAGGGGACAGGCAGGGGATAGGGGACAGCATGGCCTCGCAGTCCCCATCTGTCACCTGCAGGGAGGGGGACTCAGGGGACACCCAGGGGACAGGGGACAGGCAGGGGATAGGGGACAGCATNCCCCGGTGTCCCCACAGTGTCCCCCCCAGGTTGTCCCCCGTCCCCCCCGTCCTACCCGACCGCGGTGGCGTCGAGATCTTCACGCTGGTGACCAAACTGAGCCCGGCGTCGGCGAAGACCCCGACGTTGTCCCTCCCGCTGCCCGCGGTGCAGCCGATGTCACTCTGCTCCACCGTGTCCCAAACCTGCCACCACCGACAGGGGACACTCGTGACGGCCACGGCCACCAACAGGGGACAGCGGGGACAGCAGAGACATCAGGGACAGCCACTGCCGCCAACAGGGGACAATGGGGACAGCCACGACCACCAACAGGGGACAGCGAGGATGGCCACTGCCACCAACAGGGGACAGTGGGGATGGCCACTGCCACCCCTGGGGACAACGGGGACAGTGGGGACAGCCACTGCTGCCAATAGGGGACAGCTGGGACAGCCACTGCCAGCCCTGGGGACAGTGGGGACAGTGGGGACAGCCACTGCTGCCAACAGGGGACAGCCAGGATGGCCACTGCCACCAACAGGGGACAGTGGGGATGGCCACTGCCACCCCTGGGGACAACAGGGACAGTGGGGACAGCCACTGCTGCCAATAGGGGACAGCTGGGACAGCCACTGTCAGCCCTGGGGACAGTGGGGACAGTGGGGACAGCCACTGCTGCCAACAGGGGACAACCAGGATGGCCACTGCCACCAACAGGGGACAGTGGGGATGGCCACTGCCACCCCTGGGGACAACGGGGACAGTGGGGACAGTGGGGACAGCCACTGCCACCAACAGGGGACAGCTGGGACGGCCACTGTCAGCCCTGGGGACAGTGGGGACAGGAAGGACAGTCACTGCCACCAACAGGGGACAGCGGGGACGGCCACTGCTGCCAATAGGGGACAGCTGGGATGGCCACTGCCAGCCCTGGGGACAGTGGGGACAGTGGGGACAGCCACTGCTGCCAATAGGGGACAGTGGGGACAGCCACTGCTGCCAACAGGGGACAGCCAGGATGGCCACTGCCACCAGCAGGGGACAGTGGGGACAGCCACTGCCACCAGCAGGGGACAGCGGGGACGGCCACTGCCAGCCCTGGGGACAGTGGGGACAGGAAGGACAGGAGGGACAGTCACTGCCACCAACAGGGGACAGTGGGGATGGCCACTGCCACCCCCTGGGGACATCTGGGATGGCCACTGCCACTCCTCGGGGACAGTGGGGACAGTGGAGACAGGAGGGACAGCAGGGAAAGAGGGGACAGTGGGGACAGCGGGGACAGAGAGGACAGTGGGGACAGAGAGGACAGTGGGGACAGAGAGGACAG